TCAGGATATTAAAACGGAGCATGAAGGAATCGCCGCCCTTCAGGATTGCCAGGAATTTTTGATATCGTTTAATCCATGCCAGACAAGGTGGCGAATTTCAAAACTGATGTGAATATTGCGATTTCGCACTTTCATTAATTTTTGCTCTTTTAATTTGTTCGTGTCGTGTCAGTGTTCTTGTTTCCATTTATCATTTGAGTGTGTTTTTAGATCGTTGGCAAACGCTTGAATGAAATTGCTTATGCAGGCAAAAAATAAATAAATTCATTTGGCAAAGCATCCGGATCGTTTTGCCTTAGTATTGGTAATAATCACCCTTTTCTTATTACGCCCCGGAAAACTGAATTAAAAGGCGAGATGTTCCCTGAGAAATATTCGGTCCCCACTTAATAGACTGTCGAAGGAAGGCATTATGTGGAGTATTGAGGTCGACCCAGTAGCCTACTCGAGTTGAGGGAGTGAATGCTTCGGTATGCAACCAATTTCATGACGATATAGCGAAATTAAATTTTGATCGCAAAGTTGAAGAAGAAACCCAGAGTTTTACACTTGAGCTTCTCAGCCATCACATTGTTCGGAAACGAGCGCGTAAATTGAATTGGCCTGTTATTGATGGCTCCATTTCCCATCAAATACAGAAATTATTAGTTTAGATCTGACATATTTTTTCAGTCTTCGGCTAATTTTGCCGAAACTGCAAAAAAATCTGATTTGTATGTAAAGTGCTAAGAACCTGAATCACATTCAAACGTTCAAAAAGTGTTCAAAGCCTAAAAAAACCTTAACAAAACAGTAAATATTACTATAATAATTCAATTACTTTGAATCTGCAAAAGACGGCTTGTGGCAAAACAAGAAAACAAGTAACGTAGAAAAGAAAATTTCAAATTAACAATAACAAAAATGATTCCCGGATTTGAGGCCAGGTCGCGCAAAGTCCCGTGAAATAAAGAGGAATGCGCCACAACCACAAGAAGTGAAGCTGATCAAGCAATGGGCATCATCCAGTTCGTTAAAGATCCTTCGGGAATAAGCATCGGTTTCACCCCTATCGGAACTTGAGAGTGAAGAGTAAAGTTTCATAAGTTGAAGTTTCATTCCTGGGCGAGGAAAGCGCATCAGGTAGGCAAATAATTTTTAATCAAATTTTAGAAATGTTTCCGGGGAAGAAAATGAAACTTTAAAACTCCTGAACAGCCTTTGATGAATTGGCTTAATTTCTCGAAGGCTTAGGAATTTATTTATAATAATTTTGTTTATAATGTTATTTACTAAACTCAAAGAAAACAGCTAGAAAGACGAAATCACCCATTATTAGCCACTTGCAGTCAAACTCCTGATCATAATTAGTTAACAGGATTATCAGGAACTTAAATCGAAATCCACACGTTACGTCGGCATTAACATGCGGAAAAGTGCAAGTTAAAGTGGTAGAATTTTTCTTCCTGGTTCTCAACTGTTTTTCAGCTAATTCAAATCGGTTTTCGGTAGTTAATGTGAAAGTGATTCAGCCGCTCAACTGAAGTTCAACATCGCAATTTTTGAATTTGGCTTTCACGCATTTCTCTTCTTTCGACGAAAAGAAAGATGTGGGATGTGAGTGCGAAATTTGCCGCAAAACCTTTTCAAACTTAATCAGATTGCCACTTTTTTTTCCAAAAATCCAATCGGCAATATTGATTATCAGTAAAAGACTCCTATAGGTTTGTGGGGTTTTCGGTCAATAGATGGTGGTAAAAATAAAACACAATTATTTCGACGTTTTGCCTATATTTCAGTCATCCTCAAGGCCCTAAAATGGAAAACAGAGGGGAGTTTTTATCAATCAATCAATCAAGACTGATTAACGTCACGGTCACTAATTAACCACAACAACATTGATAATGTTTTTTAAATTATAGTACAAATACGAGGTTTTACTAGCATCCGATTGTTATTTAGAACTCGAGCACTTTTCGGGTATCGGAAACCCATTGCAACTAACAGGGTGCTTATTTATGTATAATTCCGCAAATTAAAAAACCAATTAACAATTTTCTTTTAATTAAGTCGACATTCTTCGGCAAATATCTTCAGCGGAAGTTTTTCCTGCGGGAGCGGGTCACGCGGCATCAATGCGCATTCAAACCGCCGTTCAGTTCATTTATCCCGAGTATTTTGTCGATTATTTTTCATTTCAAACCCATTTTTCTCGCACACAAAAGATTAATTAAAATCCTTACTTCTGGACGATATTCTGCCACTGATAGGCATTTTTCCGTATTGCGGCGATTTCGGTATTACATTTTTCAGGATTTTTTGCATAGTGAATAAAATTATTCACGCTTCTTAAGGAAAAATTCTTAGGAACAGACAACACACTTACATACAAAAATTTGCAAATTCAGGACAAGTGTGGTGTTTCCAGAATGGATTGCGATGAGTTTCGTTGTCGCGGCAAAGAGATGATTGAGTACATCTGCAGCTACCTGGACAACATAGAGGAGCGGCGAGTAACTCCCAACATCGAGCCTGGATACTTGAGGAAACTGATCCCGGAAAATGCGCCAGAAGACCCGGAAAACTGGGATAGCATAATGGCGGATGTGGAAAGCAAGATTATGCCTGGAGTTACTCATTGGCAGCACCCACGGTATTTAGACTGGACGTTATTTAGGTCCCCATCCAGGCTCATCGGACGGTTCCTTGCAGGTTCCATGCCTATTTTCCCAGCGGCAACTCATTTCCGTCTATTCTGGGCGATATGCTGTCGGATGCTATTGGATGCATCGGGTTCTCCTGGGCTGCCAGTCCTGCCTGCACCGAGTTGGAAACTGTTGTGTTGGATTGGCTTGGTAAGAATGAAGTAATTGTGATTATAGAAGGCAACAGCAGCAGATAAAAATTCAACAACACCCACTGTTGAAAAGACTGCTCTACAGATAAATGTTTGCTTTTCTCTTCCCTTCATAAAAAATGTCTGGTTCCTCTTTGTTCTTAATTATGCTTCGGCAGTTAATTATTCAATCGCAAGCTAGAGATTTTTCCGATATCCATTTAAGACCTCAAAACAATTTTTTTCCTAACTAAATAAATAAATCAAATATATTCCTGGGTTCATTTTTGTCTGCAAAAAATGCATGCCAAGGCTTAAAGCAGCAACAACGCTACACATAAAAACTGATGAT